GGATTTGATCTCTAGCATTATTTTTTTTAATTTTCTAGCATTATTTTAAAAAATTATTTATGGAGCACTGACATGACATCCATCCAATCCATGGCTGCATGAGACTCTGGGGCTAATCTTTGCCACATTTGACTTCTCCACCCTCTCAACGCTTTATTGGGTTATAGGATATGCCAAAGAAGAAGAAGCCAAAGTGGGTGCGTGTGAGACTGGGAGAAGAGGACGCCCAACTCCCTATCCCTTTTGTAAGTAACCCACTCCTGAAAGAAGCCTTATTGCATGGTGGGGGCAGGCACGACCTAATGACCTCCTAAAGTTTCCACTCAACACTGTTCATTGGGGATTAAGCTTCCAGCACATGATAGCAACTGCCCTACATTTTCTTTTATTAACTTTAGGGTTTTACCCTTTGCATTTAGGACTTCATTAGCAACTAGTATCCACCTTACATTATTATGTTCTCTTGTGGCAGGGGTACAGGAATAGGGCAACCTCAGTCCTTTTAGTGCTCAGGATCCTTAAAGGCCTAACTTAGACCAACTAGAGGAAGAAAGCAATAAAGGATAAAGAATAGAATACTCATCTCTCTTGGACTTTAAATCCTCCAAGAAAACCCCACAGGATGGCCCAGTCACATCACAGACTGATCTCAGCATCTTCCTCCCAGTGGCTTCAAGTGAGAGCCCCAACATCTACTTGGTTATCCAGGGCTGGTGTTTCCTCGTGTCATCCTATTTTTTGGGGGGGGGGCGTGTTGTTGTTGTTGTTTTTTAAAGAAGATGTTCATAACAGAATTTTTTAAACTTTTATTATTTTTTATTTTTATTTTTTAGTTGTAGTTGGACACAATACCTTTATTTTATTTATTTATATGTGGTGCTGTGGATTGAACCCAGGGCCTCACACGTGCTAGGCAAACCTCTACTACTGAGCCACCACCCCAACCCTGACTTTTATTATTTTTATTATTATTTTAGTATTGGGGATTGAATCCAGGGGTGCTTTACCACTAAGCTAAATCCCCAGCCCTTTTTTATTATTTTTTGTAGTTGTAGATGAACAGCATATCTTTATTTTATTTGTTTCATTTTTATGTGGTGTTAAGGATCAAACCCAGTGCTTCACACATGCCAGGCAAGTGCTCTACCACTGAGCCACAACCCTAGCCAACATTCATTTACTCAACAAATATTTATTGAACTCCCAACACTGTTTCAGGCACTGAAGATTAAGCTGTGAGCACAGCAACATCCAGCTTCAGTGGATTCAGTAGAGGAGATAGACCATAATACATACTGAGTGAGGATGAATGCTGTACATGATAACAATGTGAGGCAAAAAGGAAATTCAAGGGCGAGGTCTTTACAGAAAGAATGGTCAAAGAAGGACACTCTGACATATGAGCAGAGACTGAAACGAAGGAATGAGATGAATTCTATCTCGGGAAATTCTGGAGGAAAAGATTTTCAGGCTGAAGAAACAGTAAACACGGGCTGGGGATGTGGCTCAAGTGGTAGCGCGCTCGCCTGGCATGCGTGCGGCCCGGGTTCAATCCTCAGCACCACATACGAACAAAGATGTTGTTGTCTGCTGAAAACTAAAAAATAAATATTAAAATTCTCTCTCTCTCCCTCCCTCCCTCCCTCTCTCTTTAAAAAAAAATAAAGTTAATTCACTTAAAAAAAAAAAAAAAAAGAAAAGAAACAGTAAACACAAAGGCCCTGAGGTCAGAAATGATTTGGCTTGAGCAAAAGTAAGGAGGCCAGGGCCGACAGAGCACAGTTATCGGTGGAAAAAAGATCATAAAAAAATCATGTGGAGCTTTGGATGATATTGAGTGTTTATGTTGTTCTACTTGCAGGGGCAAATAATCTAAGTGTAATAATTAAGGAAGTAATACGAACTTATTTATTCATCAAAAATATCATCCAGGGATGGGGCTGTAGCTCAGTGGTAGAGTGCCTGCCTTACACATGTGAGGCACTGAGTTCAGTCCTCAGCACCAGATAAAAATAAATAAATAAAGATATTGTGTCCATCTACAACTAAAAAAGTATCACCCAATTATTAAGTATAAACCATAAACAAAAATATTATCCAAGTCAGGTACATGACACATGCCCATATCCCAACTACTCAGGAGACCAAGGCAGGAAGTTTGCTAGTTCAACATCAACCTGGGCAACTTAGAGATATCCTATATGGAAATTTAAAAAAAAAAAAATATATATATATATATATATGTGTGTGTGTGTGTGTGTGTGTGTGTGTGTGTGTGTATTTATAAAGGGTTGAAGAGGTAGCTTAGTGATGAAATGTTTCTGGGTATAATACCCAATACCGAAAAAGAAATAGAAAGAAGAAAAAAGAAAGAAAAGAGAAAATAGCCATTTTCATGGGAGACATGATTACATATATATATGGAAAATCCAAAATAATTTACAAATAAATTATTAGAATTAGTAAATTTATCAAGATTGTTGTATATGGTCTCAACACATCAAAAAATCAATTATATCCCTAAACTTCAGGAACAAAAATAATTTATCAAAAAATTTTAAAAGGAACAATAGCATACAAGATAAAATACCTAGGATTAAATTAACAAAAAATTTGCTTAGTCTAAACAGAAAACTATGAGACATTCCCGAGATAAATTTTAAAGATCTAAATAAATAATTCATAGCAACAGTATTATAATGGCCAAAAAATCAAAATAACCTAACATCCATCATGAGTAAAATGGTTAAGTAGTGGCATAGTCATACCTTGGAATATTATACAACAATGGAAAGATTGATCTACCATGCTACATAATGAATTCACAATGTTGAGCAAAAGAAGCCATAATAAAAAGTGGTTACCTTTGGGCCTGGGGATAGCTCAGTTGGTAGAGTGCTTGTCTTCATGCACAAGTCCCTGGGTTGATCCCCAACACAAAAAAAGAAAAAAAAAGTGGTTACCTTTGGAGAGTAATGATTAATTAAAAGAAGGTGTGAGGAAAGTTTCTGGGCTATGGACAATACTGTGTTTGTGTGTGTATGCACATGTGTGTGTTTACATGCACAGGTAGTATTTCATTAATACACTATTCTATAAAAGTCCTATTGAGCCATAACTTAAGATTTATCACTTTATGTATGTTACAACTATTCTAAAAACATTTTTTTCCAGATTTTACAAAATAAGCCTGATCTCAAAAGAGAAAGAAAAGGAGAAGAAAAACTGAAGGAATAAACAGAATGAATTATAGAATAATAATAAAGGGCTGGGGTTGTGGCTCAGTGCTAGAATGCTTGCATTGCATGTGTGAGGCACTGGATTCAATTCTCAGCACTGCATATAAATAAGTGAATAAAATAAAGGTCCATCAATAACTAAAAAAAGAAGAGAAAGCTAAGGGGTTCCATATACTTGCAGTATATATTGAGAAATCACATGACATGTATTCTTATTGAACTCATGCAAGACCTCATGAGGTGGATATTTGTCCCAGTTTAGAGAAACTGGGGTTCAGAAAGGTAATGTCACCCATCAAGGTCACACAGCAATGGCACTAGGTTTGCCTGATTCATCATCTCACCTTTTTAACCAGTGGACACACCACCTGCCCAAACAGGTTCCTTTTCCAGGCCTTATAACAAAGCACCATCTGATATTCAAAATAATAACTACAAATTAACAAGAAGTTCTATAAGCCTTTGATTAGCACCTTAACTAGTCATCATGATTTCCATTTCTGGTAAGAAAACTCAGAAAGGGTAAACCATTGTGTCAAGGTCACAGCTAGTAAGAGATGGAGCCAAAATTCAAACCCAAGAATATCTGACTTCAGACCCACTGCCTTACCATCACTTTCACTGCCCAGTAGTTAAGAGGCCTGAATTTCACTCATTCATTCCAACAAAACTTTTTAAGCGCCTACAATAGGCCAGGCCTGTTATAGTTCCCAGTCTCCTCATGCACAGAACAGAACTAGGGGAGTAGGATCTGGGATGGTAGATACCCAAATAGATGAAACATGTCAGGAGGACCGCTACCACAGAGTAAGTGGACAGTGCAGCAGGAAAAGGGCTTTCTGAAGAAGTGACAGCTGGTCCGATGGTTGGATTAACAAGAGGATTCTTTCTCGGAGTCTAACCTAGCAAGGGGGCAGAGTGGATGGGACTGTGTGTGTGTGTGTTTGTGTGTTTGTGCACGCGCAGTGGTGGAGATAGAACCCAGGGCTTCATGCAGTCCACCACTGAACCACGTACCCAGTCCTTCGATGGGACATCTGTCTACCCATAAAATCTAAGGGTTTTTTTTTTTTTTTTGGTTTCCCCCCCCCAAAAAAAAAAAAGGAATAAATGGTTTAAGAAAGAAGCCTACGGGGACCTATTAATAAATACAGCGTGACTGGAGTCATAAAAGGGCCCAGGAATGGACTGGGTTAAGGTGAGGCTAGACATCATTGTGACGGTGCAGGGCGACCAGGCACGGAATACAGGGCAAAAAGAGCCCGGCTTGGTGGCTGATAAGAAATGGGGGATGGACACAGAATCCCTCAGTCCAACTCTCCGCTACTCGGCCCTATTTCACCAATGCTCAAGGCAGAAAGGGACACAGCAGAGCAGGCCACAGAGCCACCTACCCTTCGCCCCACCCGCCACAGACCCCGCAGGAGTCGCGCGCCGCGCAAGTACCACAGGCCCTGGACACCCTTACGCATGCGCGCCCACAGCTTTACAGGTAACTGACTAGAGCGAGCCGGCGCCGGCCCGCGGTGTGCGCCTGCGTCGGGAGGAGTCCGGACGGGGCGGGGCTTAGACACCGCCCTTCTCGGAACCGCCCCGCCCCTTTGAGTTTCTGGCGGGAAAGCTGCACGCGCACTTCTCCCCCACCACGCGCAACTGCCGTTCGTCGTTCGTGGCCTCCAGCCGTGTCCCGAGACTGGGACACGACTCCAGGTACGCCCTGCGTGCAGCAAGGTTATCCAGAGTAACCCTTTCATAGTCCGCCTGAAATCCTGGCCAGGCTCCCCAAAACATAGGACAGGTTCCCCAATACCAGCACCTTCCGAATTCTGTTAAAAGACCTCTTGAAAGCCTGTCCAAACCTCCTCAAGTGCTAAAAGGAACCCCCTAGGAAATATTGCTGGTGACCCCTGAAATCCTGTCAGAATCTTCTAGAAATTCTAGCAGACTTGTGAAATCCTGCAAATTCCCTCCCAAGACCCGGAAATCCAGTCAGAAATGCAGGGACTTCCCAGAAATCCAGAGCCCCCCCCCAAAAAAAAGAAAAAAAAAACATCCAATCAGAGACCCCATGAATTCCAGCCCAGACTTTCCTCTCCAGAATGCCTCCCCGGACCTCCTGCTGCCCTCCACCCAGGTCCCAGGCTTCCAGTGTATCGAGGACATGGCCTCCCTGCTCCCTCGGGAGCTTGTCCCCGGGCCCTGTGGAGCTCCAGGGCCTGTTGGTACACTTGCAGGGACATGGCCCTGGCCCCTTCTGCCCCCTCCAGGATTCCTGGAGAGGTCTCTCTGTAAAGACCCCTCATTTTCTAGAACCTTCTAAAAGCTTCGGAGAAGTGTGCAGTGCCGGATCGTGTCTGGAGCAGGGAGAGCAGGGTCTTGGGAGCACTTGGTGAGGAGAGAAGAGCCAAGCAGCTCAGGGGCACCCTCCTCCCATCTTTGGCCTTGGCCCAGGGTGTCCCCTTCAGCCCCAGGGGCTCGTGGTGTGGTTTAACTGCTAATGATGTCCCTTTTTCTCCTGAAAGTGTCCTGGAGTTCAGACTAATGGGTAGGTCAACTGGTTATAATAGAGGAGGGACAGCACTTTCAGGCACAGGGGAAAGAGTCCCTAGCTCTCAGGGACCTCTAAAGGCTCCTCAGGGGCCTGTGAGGCACAGTTGGACTTGAACAAGGAGAAGGGTGGGGTGGGTCTGGGCCTCAGGGGATCAGGGGTCATACTGAGCTGGAACCTGGAGAGCAGCAGGTTCAGAGGACAATGCTGAGTTCCCATGGCCCATGGAGGGCCAGGGACCTGAGGTGGGCTAGTGAAAGAAATAGTGACAAAAAAGAGGCAAGGAGCTTCAGACACCTCTGTGTGGTTTTTCCAGCCTGAAAGGCTGGGGCTTAATCTGGAGGCACTAGGGATCCATCAAAGGCTAGGAGCAGGAGAGAGACAGGGTCAAACTGTTTTGAAAGGACAGTGGTCCAAATACAGGATAAAATTGCAAGAATGTCAGCTGCTGGGGCCATCTGGGAGCCAGATGCAGCACCTCATTCAGCCAGAGGAGCAGAGACAGGAAGGCAAGAAGGGTGTCCCAGGCAAAGACCAGAGATGGGAACAGCCAGTCCAGTTTGAGGAGTAGTATATGGTTCAGAGTTGCTAGAAAATCAAGTGATTTGAGAAGTTGAAACAGCTGCCCAGGCCATGCAGGGCCTTTGTTGCCACATCCAACCAGGCAATATCCTCAGAGCTCGGGGAGGCTATGGAAGGACACTGAACAGGGAAGGGGGCAGGTCTCTTCTGGGACCCTATGGAGCTAGACTCGGCCCTATGGACAAGCCCAGGGAGAGGACATTGCAGGCCCGAGGCAGGGGTGTGGGAAAGAAGAGTCATTGGAAAAAAAGGATGGGGCTAGGGACTTGACAAGCTGGGGGAAGAGGGGAGGCCACATTATCTTCCTAGGGGGGGTAGTGGCTGCCACCTACTAGCGCCCCCACTTTGATCTCTGCTTACCCACTCCTCAGGCCCCCTTTGCCAGCCCACACTTCCAATCCATAAAACAGGTCTGAGCGGGAGCTGTCAGGTTGAGGCGGGGGTGGAAACAGGTTCTGAGAGCCCAGAGGCCTGGGGCACAAGTGGGCGGGTAGATCCCCACCTAAGGGTGATAATCTGAGAAAACCATTCCCCTGCTTGTCCTTCCAGGAGCTCTCTGGGCAGCTGGTCCCTTTCCCATCCCTTACAGTGATGGAGGGAGGCTGGTAGCTTCAATAGCAGCTGTGGAGCATCAGGAGTGGCCGATGGACCTGCCAGAGGGCCGGGCTGGTGGCCCTGCTGCAGAAAGTAGGTGTTTGGGCCTTTGTTTGTCTTGGAGGAGGGAGAGAGAGCTGAGGGTGAATGGGCATCAGGCTGTGACTTGGACTCTTGGGAGACATGGTTTGGGTCACTGAGCAGGCTAGGCAGGAAGAAGCGGTGGTGAATTAAATGCCTACTTTGTACACGCTCTCCTATCTCACCTGCTCTGGGAAGGCTGAGCTGTGCAAGAGCAGAGATCTTTGCACATGCTGTGCCACTCACCAGGAGCACCCTTCCCCAGTTGCCCACATACTCACCCCTCTTCCAACTCAGGTTGATGCGGGGATGGCACCTCTTACTCTAGGTAAAGCAGCTACTCTGTCACTCTTTTCCCTTCCCTGCTTCCCTTATCTTCAGAGCACTGGCATCTGTTTGTCACCTGTTTAGTCTCTGTTTCTTCCCTAAAGCATGAGCTCCACAAGGCAGTGTCTGTTTTATTCATTTTAGTATTCCCAGTCCCTAGAGAGTGCTATTCACAGAAGTATCATGCCAGTAATATGTAATTTTCAGTTATATTAAAAGGAAAGGAAACAAGGGAAATGAATGGTAATAATAGATATTATTTAACCTTATATATTCAAACTAGTATCTTTTCTGCTTGTAACCAGTATTAATATGTACTGAGGTATTAAGTCTTCAGATCTAATGTATACTTTATACTAACAAAACTTCTCAATTCACACTCCACCCAGTTCAAGTGCTGAAGAGCCACAAGTGGCTGCCCTATCAATGGCATTGCCCTAGAGTAATGCCTGAAGCATAGTAGGAACTCAGTTACTGTTGCCAAGCGAATGGATGGATGCAGATGTCTGGGTGTGATAGCCTGCTTGGAAGGAAGCTTCTGGGTCACGGCTCTCCGCTAACCAGGAGAGCTCAGTCTGACAGGAGAAACAGCAGCCTTCTTAGAGGCTCTCAGGCATCACAGAGCACAACCTTCAGCTTTTTTTCAAGGCCCCAGAACTGGACTCTGGCCCCAGTCAGAGAATCAGAGGCAGACACTAGGATGGAGGAACCCCAGCACAGGCTGATGGCCCAGTGACCACAAGCTAAACTTCGCCCACGCCAGCAGAGGGCGTGCGGCCACCAGGAACCATGAGCAAGGGCTGAGCCTCTGGGAAGCTCTGGAGGGAAAATGAGGGACACACCCAGAGATGGAGATGGAGAAAGCAGGTCGGGGAGGAAACAGAGATACAACAGAAGAAGTAAAGAGAAGACTCAGGGAACAGAGTCACCAAGACATGGGAAGAGAAGTACAGAGATGGAGAGACAGAAAAGAAAGTAGGGGCAAGGGATATGGAGACAAAGAGGGGGAACACTGGTAGTAGAGATTGGGGAGAAAACTAGAGAAGAGGCAAGGACAGAGAGACACTGAGGACGGAAATAAAGGAGAGAGAATAGAACAGAAATAGTGACATATTCCTTCAATGCCCTGCAGATGTGCTGGTCCTCAGAGACAGTATGATCTACCCAGCTTGGCTTTTCTTGGGCAGCAGATTTGGACAGGCGAACTCACTGGGCCACAGAGTCCTTTTCTATAACATGGGGTGGACACTAAGGAAGAAATCAGACTGTAGTTAAAACCTTACCTTCTCTATCCTTGGGTCCCCCGTTTTCCTTTCCAAGGGCTGAACCCAGAAGAATAGGTTCAACCAGAGGGCATCAAATTTTTCCCACAACAAAGAAAAGTTAAGAGGGATGAGAAAGATGACTCCAGTTTTGGACAGGTGACCTTGGGCAAATTTCTAAGTACTCGGTGCCTCAATCCTTCATCTGTAAAGCAGGGCTAACATAGCAGCCTCCCCTGGTTCATGTGAAGCCCTCAGAAGAGGCCTGGCACCCACTAAATACTCAATAGATGTTCGATTCTATTTTTGAGTCTCTATCACATGCCAGGACCTCTGCCAGGCAGGGCCTTTCAAGATTTTGCTTCACTTTTTCTCTTGGAGGAAGGTAATATCACCCCCACCCCTTTTTCCAGAAGAAGCAACTGAGGCTTAGAGGGACCCTTGCCCCATTCAAACCTGAGCCCAGGTTACCCAACCCTGCAACCCGTGCTCAGTGAGCTGCTGACTCCAGGTGTCCGAGGCCAAGGCAGGGACCTGAAAAGTTACTTCCAGCCCTGAGAGAGAGGTTGAGCCAGTCCAGTGGTGCCTGGAGAAGAGAATCTCCTCATGTTGCGGAGCATATTTTGAGTTCCTGCTGTGTGAACTCATGGTGAATACAGTAGTAGGCAAACAGACCCTGGGAAACAGACATCCACATGCTCTTCACATACACAGATCTAGCCCTCCTAGCCCTGGGAAAGGGGGTTGCTCTACCCATCCCCCACTTTACCATTGTGGAGACTGAGGCTGCAAAAGGAGAAGCCTCTTGTCCAGAGACACGCAGCCAGGCTCTGACCCCAGGTTGGTCTGACACCTGATGCAGGTCCTAACCGTTCTGTCACTGCCCACCTTGCTGGAATTGTCCCACCCCTCCACATCTCAGAACTGTGTTATTGCCACCCTTGCCTGGGGATGCCAGGTGGAGAGAGACTTGGTCCCTGGGGCAGACTGGGAGACCGGAGATACAGCAGGCAGGATCGATGCAGGCTGCCCGCGCTTTATTGGATTGTTCCTGGCTCCTGGGTCCCCTTCACACTCTGCTCCTCCCAGACTCCTCTCTTTGTCCTCCCGCCTCTTCCTCTGAGCTCAGCTTGGGAGGGTGGAGAAGAGAGGAGGCCAGGGTGATCTCAGAGCTTGTTATCTGGGCTCCTGACACATGGGATACACAGAGTTTCTGGCCTGAAAGAGAAGACACACATGGCAGGGATGGGGAGAGTTATTCAAAGACCCTCATGTTGCCTCCCCACCCAAAGCTACCAGCCCCAGCCCCAGGCAGCTCCCAGTGAACTCCCTCCCCTCTGTGGAGCCCAGTGACCTAGGACCTAGTGTCACCCTCTTTCCTTTGGTCCTCTGACTGGTGGGTTGGTCCCTCTTGTCTCCTCAGTGTACCTCTGGGAGCAGCCTGAGGAGGTGAGCCCAGGACCATTGCTCAGCTTAGAGGAGCAGATACTCAACTCCACATTTGAAGCTTGTGACCCTCAGAGGACAGGTGGGAGGGGCAGGTTGGGGGTTTGGGGAGCAGAGGGAGAGGATGGGGGTCTGGGAACTGGAGCCATAGAGAGAGGACTGGGCTACAGCTTCTTGGAGCAAATGGGTGACTCAGTGAATAAAGGAATGGCGGCCTTTCAGAATGAGAACTGGGGCCCTTGACAGAAGAGGGGTGGGACTTCTGGTGTCTAGTGGGGAAGGAGGCAGCCACAATGCCTGGAGAGGTACACAGTACTGCCCTTGACTCGATCCTCTTTGGCCCACTCTGTGAGGTGGGGTGACTGGGTTTCATTTCCAGGTGGAAAATTTGACAGAGAGGAAGGGACTTGCCCAAGGTATCTCCACCAAGCTATGGGACAGGAATGCCACAAACCTAGCCAGTGACATCCTGTTCCCAAGCCACTGCCTGGCCTCACCCACCCAATCTCTGTCATGGTATGCTCTGTCCCAGGCACCGTGGCTGTGACCCACGTGCTGGCGTACCTGGAGGCTGTGACAGGCCAGGGCCCCCAGGATTCTCGCCTCCAAACATTGGCCCGAAGCCTGGACCCCAAAGGGGAGGGCCCTGGGGCCACTGTGGACTTGGACACCTTCCTGGTTGTCATGCGGAACTGGATTGCTGCCTGTCAGCTTCGTGGGTGAGTCCCTGCATGGCCAACCCCCTCCTCTGAGAAGTCCTAAAAGCCAACCTCATACTTGGTTTTGCAGCTCGCATCTGCAGACCCTGGGAACCTACTGTGGTTGGAATAAGACTGAGGAAGAGAAAAAGCGAAGAGATGGGGTGGGGGGCCTGAGGACAAAACGCCTGGGATAAAGAGGCACGGGGGGGGGGGACAGAAATAAAAGGGGGCTGAAGATATGGGGAGTGCTTTGGGGGGCTGACAGAGGTCCCCCGTCCCTTCACCAAACCCAGTCCCTGCCCCTCCTGCTCTTCCATCTGGCCCTGGGTAGTCACCATCTGGCCTCACCTTCCTTCCCACAGTGCCTCTCTCACCTGACCTGTCCCCTCCTCCCACCCACAATCCCCCTGCAGTGACAGGTCAGGATTGTGGGTTGGCTGCAGGGGGGCCCTAAGCCTCATCCCTTTGATACAGGGGATTAGAGCTTGGAGAGGAGACCGCCTTGGAGGGAGCCCTGACCTCCCAGCAACTGCCATCTGGTGAGATTGCTATATATAGAATGAAGCAGGCAGGTCCAGGGTCAGCCAGTGGGGGGACTTCCCATGGGGCAGAGCAAAAGATAAGGTACAACCAAGCAAGGACCTTTGTTCCAGCCTGGAGCTGTGAGTTTGGCTTTCTAGGTGTCTCTGTACTGCCCCCTGCCCACCATCCTCACTTTAACTTTTGGGTTTTTTTCCCTCCCCCTTGGGGATTATTTCTAACCCCTCTCCCCAAACTAGCCCTATTACAGAGGTCTACAGGGGCCTTCTTCCTCTTCACACTCTTGTGGCCGAAGGCCCTCTTGCCTTGAGAAGCCAAGGAATGCCCCAGGCCCACCTCCCAGCTCCCCACCAGCTCACCAGCTTGCAGGCCTTTCCCTCCTAGCCAGTCCTGCTCACCTGGTGAGGCCCCTTCCTTGTTGTTGGTTGGTTGGTTTGCTCACCATCCTGTGCCCAGGATCTCACAGCTAGGTGGCTGTCTGCTAAAAAGTGGCCATGTGATATTTCTCTCTCTCTCACACACACACACACAAAAAAAAAAAAAAAAAAAACAGTTTTCTTGATATTATCTCAGACCTCCTTCTTCAGCCTTGGAGCCATGGAAAGACTATGAGCTGAGGAGAGACAGGTGAACTCTGGGCCAGTAGGGGAAGGACAGGAGGAGGAGACCAGAGGCCAGGAGGTTAGGGAGGACACGGGGCAGGGGGCAGCAGGGGACAGAGAGTAGGAGTGGAGCAGAGAATCAGGGTACAGGGATGGACCTGGGTTCAGGTTGAGGAGGAGGGGGGAGCCAGGTAAGCTCAGGGGCTCTTGGATGGCATGGGAACTGGTAAGAGGTACAGGTTTGGGGAAGTTGATGTACTGCCCAGTGTTGGGCATAAGGAATAGGAAAGTGGGGCTATTCAGAAGATCCAGTCTGAGCTCAGAGTAGATGAAGAGCAGAAGTTCTTCATGATGGGGGTAACTAAAGCCCTGGGAGCTCAAGAGATCACCCAGAGTGAAGGGAGCAGCAGAGGAGCAGTCAGAGAAAGGGCGAGCCCGGAGCCCTGGGGCACACTGACATTTAAGATGGAGTCCAGTACCCTCTTGTCTCCCTCCAGGATTCCCAGAAGCTGAGGAGCCAGCAAACCTGGAGAGCTTTGGAGGCGAAGACACCAGACCCGAGATGTACCTATTCTCAGATCCCTCCCTGCTTCTCCCACCCCAGCCCTGTTTTCTCCTGCCTGCCCAGGTCGGGGTAGGGATTGGGGTCCTCTGGGTCATGGGCGAGGCACACAGGCCTGTTGATAGTTTAGAAAGAGCAGAGGAGTCTCACTCCTGTTTGTTTCAACAGAAGAGCCCTGTCTCCCCACCACCAGAACCTCTACTGACCTGGGAAAGGAGGCAGGGATTCTGGCAGTGACCACAGCCCCTTTGCTACCGCCAGGCCTGCCACAGCTGACCTTCTGAGCAGCCTGGAGGACCTGGAACTCAGTAACCGGCGTCTGGCTGGGGAGAATGCCAAACTACAGCGCAGCGTGGAGACAGCCGAGGAGGGGTCGGCGCGCCTCACGGAGGAGATCTTGGCTCTGCGCAGGCAGCTTCGCAGGTGGCTGTGACCCTACTCTGCCTCCGTCTTCTCGCAACCCCAGCCTCTCTCTCTGCTGTCCTGCTTAGTGACTTTGACTCTGCACCTGTCCATTTCTTCTTCCCCCTCTGTCTGTATCTTTCTCCCTTGTTTCTCCCTGAGTCATGTCTCCCGACCTGTCTGTTCTAGTCTGCCTGTCTTTCCCTCTGGGTTCAGACTTCTCTCTTTATTCCTCTCCAGCTCTCTCTGACTCTCCATATCTTTGGTTTTTTCCATTCTCTGTGTTCCTCATGCCTCTTGTCTGTCACAGTCCCGGTGTTTTAGTCTCCTACTCTCTGTAGGTCTCTGTCCCACCTCCTCAGTCTTTCAAGTTGAAACTGGATCTCTGTCCCACCCTTATCTCTTGGTCTCTGTCCTTTCTTCTTTCTGGGTCTTTGTACTGCCCCTTCTATCTCTGCCTCCCCACCTCTAGGTCTCTGTACTCTCCACTCCAGCCTGAGATTTCTCTGTGGCTGCTGTCTGAGTGGATCTATCTCTGAATTTCTGCCTTCCTCTCTTCTTGTGGCTCCTCTGCCCCTGCACTGCTCAGTACCCAGCAGGCTCTGCAGTTTGCCAAGGCAGTGGATGAGGAGCTGGAAGACCTGAAGTCTCTGGCCAAAAGCCTGGAAGAGAAGAATCGCGGCCTTCTGGCCCAGGCCCGGCAGACGGTGGGTGCTGGCCCTGCAGACAAAAGATGCCCTGCCTCTTCTCTCCCTCCTGGAGTGAGAGCAACAGAGCCTAGCAGTGAAGTGGGAAGGGGCGAGGTCACCTGGTTTCCTCTTTTACTCCAGGTCTTACAGTTCCCAGACTTTCTCAGGCCTGCCTGCCACCATTCTCTTGATAATGTCAACATTTGGAGCCATTCTCCCAGCCCTGTGTCTCAATGACCCCAGGCCCTGATGTGTTCCCTGGGTGGGAAAAGGGTACTATGAGAGCAAGGAGACTGGAACTGAAGCCTTCCTTCTCTCTCTGGGGTTGATCAGGAAAAAGAGCAGCAGTACCTGGTGGCAGAGGTGGAGACTCTGCAGGAGGAGGTAAGCTGAAGCCCGTATCGCCCCTTCTTCCCCAGTCCTCAAGGGCTTCCTAGCTCTAACCCTGCCTCCTCTAACACCCTAGCAGCCTAAGTTCAAACTAAAGCCTACAGAGGGAGACCTCAGCATCCCAATGATTTGTGAATATCCCTGAGATCATTGATGACAAGAGCTTGAAGCACAGGGCCAGTGCCTGTGTTCACAGTAAAGCCACATACATAATAAGCATGTGCCATTCCCTCCCCTCTTGTCATCTCACTGTCTTCGTCTGTACAATGAGCAAAATAGTGGCATCTCCCTTGGGTTGTGTGAGATTTAAACCAGAACATAACTTGGAAAGTTTCAGACACAAGTAGGACACACAGGAAATGCTCCCTAAGAGTTAGTATGTATTAGCATTTTTTATGGTAAAAAGAACAGATTTTGCCAGGTATGGTGGTGTGCATACCTGTAATCCCAGCTACTCAGAAAGCTAATGCAAGAGGTTCACAAGTTCAAGGCCAGCCAGGGCAACTTAGCAAGATCCTGTCTCAAAATGTAAAAGGCTGGGGATTTAGCTCAGTGGTAGAGCACTGAGTCCTGGGTTCCATCCCCAGTGATATGAGAGAAAAAAGAACAGACTTTGAAAGGTTTTGAAGTGAGTCTTGAATGTAGACCCCATCTCTACCAATGATACAAGAGGCAGACTTTCAGTGTGTGGCTTTTCCTTTCCAAGCTTTAGTTTTTTGTTTTTGCTGTACTAGGAATGGAACCCAGGGCCTTATGCAAGCTAGGCAAACTCTTTACCATTGAGCTACACCCCAGCCCCCAAGCCTTAATTTTATTCTCCAAGACCAAGGAGGAGGATTACCTGTTCAGTAGGGTGGTTGAAAAGATTTAAATTTTGCCCGTTGCCTACCATATCATATGAAGTTCAGTCTAATTCTAGCTCCATTTCATCTGAAACAGGAAACATCATCTTAGTTCATTGTGGGTCTATCTAGTTCTCTTAGGAAGAAACGCATGCATCAGTTGATGAAACTCATCACTACTGCCTCCACTCCCCTGACCAAGGTAGCATCTAAGTTGCAGGCGATCCACACAGGGTCTCCAGGAAGCAGAAGGTCCTCAATGTCTGTCCCCTCTGCTGTTCACAAGATCGGTGATCTTCATTCCATCTGTTTCTCAGCCTTTGTCACCACTACATCCACGGGGAGGCCTGCATGGCCTTCAGATCTCTGGACTTAACGGTCCTAGCTGCAACTCCTGGCAGGATCCTTATCAGGGCTGGGTCTCTCACTTGGCCATTTCTGAACTCTTTCAGGGCCACAGAGAAAGTTTGGCCACTTCTCTGTGAAAGCCCACAGGGATTTCATTGGGGCCTCTCCCTCCATTCCTGACACAGCCATCTCTACTCTATCATTCCTACCCTTTCATGATTCTAAGACTGAGCTGAGAAGGGGACACAGGGCCTCTCAGATCTCCAGGCTCTCCAACGGTTCTGTGGTCTACCGCATACGTCCTGTTTGCTCCTCACAGGTAGCTCAGGGCTTAGGGATGATGGCTCAGGGCTTAGGAATGGTTCTGACCCACTTTCAGTCTACTGCTATGTGTTCTCACTCTCCTGCACCCTATTGCAGCTCTAAGGATCTCTGCCTAGTCTGAGCACATCATGTATTTCTCCCAAATCTCTTTGTCCAACATCTGCTTTATGACTTTCACACTGAAATCCAAAATTTTTCTACTCTTCTGTGGCTTTTCCTTGAAAAATCTCCCCGATGGAGCAGTGAGATCTCACAGCAGGATAGCTGCTGCAGTGTGAGGCACGAGTGTAGACAGGATATGACGAGTTCTTGCAGAACATTTTTTTTAAGAATGAGGAGAAAGTTTTCCCTGGAAGAACCTCCTTCCTCACAGCTCATTGGCATCCAACAATTATAGCCAACAGCTCCCTGATATAATATGGCCACCGATGGGTTCATGATATTCCAAGGAAGAGAATATCAAGGAAATTGCAACTTCAATTTGAAGGACATGCATTTCCTTCACCAAACCCATGGCTGGGCATGGTGGCACACACCTGTAGTCCCAGGTTCTTGGGGGGCTGAGGCATGAGGATCACAAGTTTGAGGCCAGCTTGGACAATTTAGTGAGATCCTATCTCAAAATAAAATAAAGGGGCTGGAATGCAGCTCAGTGGTGGAGTATTTGCTTAGTGTGTGTGATGCCCTGGGTTCAGTCCCCTGTACGGGGCTGGGGTGGGGATGGCTCTTAAGGAGGTGGTCTCTAGGTTGGTTTGGCGAGTCACTGGGCTTTTTTGTCTGCTTATGGCTTCATTAACACAAATGACTACAGGAGCTCCCAGCCTCTTGTTCTCATTCAAAGCAGGACCAGGAGGTGCAAAAAAATACCCCTCTGATGGCTTTTCCCTTCATCAGAAGAAAAAGCTTTTCCAGAAGCCCCTTGCCCCATGCCTCACTCCTCACCCCCAGCACACTTCTCCTATCTACCAGCTAGAACTGGATCACAGGGAGGGTCAGAAAATCCTCAGCCTCTCGCTAGGCTGGAGGCAAACAAGAAAGGATAAGAATGACTGCTACGTGTGATAACCAGCCATATCCCCCAGATCTGCCAATATTTCCTTCTTCTTCATCCTCAAGTCTGAGGCTGGCACTCTTCTTGACAGAGTGAATCCTTGATAAAAGTAAAAGGAACAAGAATGGTGAATGGCAGCCAGTGGTCTCTAACGCCCCACCCCCACATCTCCCACCCCCACCTTAAGGCCCACTGCCAGATCAAATGCCTTGAGCAGTGCTGGGGACATCCTAGGCGCTCGATAAACTTGAGCTATTCTTGGTTCCTTCCCCTCGCCCACAGCTGCCTAGCGAGCATCTATAGATTGAGTTCTCAAGTTACAGAGGATAATGCTGGAGTAACAAGACACTCAGAGCTCTGAAGCTCTGGGCAGCCCTCCTTTGGAGGAGCCACAGAGCCAGCTTAGTTTACTGCAGAAGGAGGCAGGAGCAGATGAGTAACCAGGCTCCCTGCAGAGTGGCTCAGGATCTGGCCTGCAAATCCCCAACCAGGTGGACAGATGTTGACACAGCACTCCTGGCCTGTCCTTCCTCAGTCCTTCACCTGGCAGCCCAGGCCTGCTGAGACAGCGAGGGCGGCTGATGGAGGACTTGGAGCCTGGCTGGCTGGAGAGAGAGGAACTTGCCTGTGTCCCCTGGGGCACCAGGAGTGTTTTGGGTGAAAGGGAGTTCTGGAATGCCTCCGTGCCGCCTGATATGCATCTCCTGGTGACCACGTCATCTCAGGGGAACTTGGGAGGCTGTTGGTTCCTAAAGACTTAAGACTGGAACTTGAGTCTGGCGTGGGCTGCCCTCTCCTGGCCTTGGTTTCTTCCCAGATAACTCCCTTTGCCCCTGAGGACAATCCAAGCACTGCTGCCTCAGGAGGCCTCTGGCTGTGTTCCCACTTTCAGGCCCTGGGCCTCTTCAGAACCCCTGGTGCATTAGCATCATCTACTCTGAGCTCCTTATGGCCAAGATGAAACTGATTCTCCCTGTGCCCTGTTCTCCCTCAGAGATGCATCTGACTCAGAGGATTTAGAATCACACAGACTGAGGTTTGAGTCCATTTTTCCTCCACATAACCTTGGCCAAGTTTCAGTGACTCTACCTCCCATGTCTTCCATAAAAGAAGGAATAGTTAGGACAGTCAGACATGGCATTTCTCCTGAAGGGTATAGTGTGGGGTGTACAGCACCACCTGTGACGTCTTCTTATGAAAGCACAGAACAAGAGTTTGAAAAACCCCAACACGGTGTTGCACACCTATAACCCCAGAGGCTCAGGAGAGTGAGGCAAGAGGATATCAAATTCAAAGCCAGCCTCAGCAACTTAGTGAGACCCTGTCTCTAAATAAAAAATAAAAAGGGCTGCGATGTGGCTCAGTGGTTAAGTGCCCCTGAGTTCAATCCCTGGTACCAAAAAAAGTCTGGACAGAGTCCTGAGTACACCAACCTGCTTAAAGAAAATAATGACAGGGGTATTTGGTGAGTATCACCATAGAGAGCAAGAATGATATTGGCCAAATGCAAATATACCGACTCTACAGGGCAGATGACCTGGTTTCTTCCACAGATGAAGGACCTATAAAGTACCAGGGAGAGATTATTGTTACATTAAAAGAAATGAAATGTTTCAGTTGATGGTAGGCCTTGTTTGGATCCTCATTCAAACCAACCATTAAAGACATTTGGGAGACAACCAAAATGAAAACAGTGAACACTGAGTATGAGATGATACTATAAATTACTGCTAATTTGGGAGAGGGTAATAATGGCATTGTGATTTTACTAAAGGAAATAAGTCCTCAAGTAGGAGATAAATGCCGGAATGGCTATGGTAAAATAATATGATGCCTGGGGTTTGCTTTACATCTAGTTTAAACTCTAAAGAAAAGGAATAAAACTGGGAAATGAATATAATAATTGGAACTGGATGATAGATAATATGGATAATGGTGCTTTGTTACACAATTCTTGTGTGTGTTTAAAAAATTGTGCCAGGCTGAGTGCAGTGGCACATGCTCGTAATCCCAGTGTTTTGGGAGGCTGAGACAGGAGGATGCCTGAGTTCAAAGCCAGACTCTGCAATGGTGAGGCACTAAGCAACTCAGTGAGACCCTGTCTCTAAATAAAATACAAAATAGGGCTGGGGATATGGTCCAGTGCCCCTGAGTTCAATCCCCGGTACCCCCCCAAAAAAAATTGTGCTAGGCACAGTAGCACATACCTGTAACCCTACATACTCGGGAGGCTGAAGCAGTAGGATCTCACTCAAGTTCAAGACAAGCCTGGGCAACTGTCTCAGAATTTTTAAAAAAATTGTAAAAGGTCTGGAGATATAATTCAGTGATAGAGCACTTGTGTAGCAAGTAAGTGCAGGGCCCTAGATTCAGCCCCCAACCAAAAAAAAATATATATATAGTACAAAGGTAAAAGTTTATATATCATATAATATATAAAAACCTGGTAAATATTATTTAATAAATAGATACGTAAATGTTAACATTTATCCAACATGTGGCACATGCCAGGTGCAGATAACACTGTTCTAAATGATTTGTTCCCACTAATGTTCATCAACATGTGTTGGTGTGAATTACTACCTGGGACAAGTTGCTCAATCCCTCTGTGCCCAAGTTGCCTTTGTCTTTAAAACAGAGGATAATTAGTACATTTACATATGCAAAGTGCTAAGTGTTAGAAAGTTTTATTAACCCATTTAACCCTCACAGCAATCCCATGAAGTAAGTCCTGTTTATCTCTCTTTTTATTGACGGGAAGCCACACACAGAGAAGATATAGCTGAGGTCTCACTAGGATGGCTGAAGGAATTAAAGGGACTAAACTTATATAAAGTGCTTAGGATGCACATCGAGTATTCATCAGATGTCAGCTGTTAGTGTCATGAAAGTGACTGGTGGGCTCTTCCTTCCTCCAGAATGGGAAGCTACTGGCTGAGCGGGATGGAGTGAGGAGGAGGAGTGAGGAGCTGGCCACAGAGAAGGATGCTTTGAAGGTGCAGCCCCTCCCTGGTGCCCGGGAACTTCCCACCCTCCCTGGGGCCATTTTCACCATCATCAGTTAGAGCCACTGAGACCTGCTCGGAGCAGGGGTCTTCCATCACGATCAAGCTCTCAGGCTCCCAGGGCCACCCAGACAGCTGGGCTGAAATTCCCTGCAGTGCAGCTGATGCTCAGGAATTGGGCATTTGAGGAAAGAGCCCTGGGAGAGTGGGGCAGGCCAGAGGAGGGAAGGCCAAGGGGAACCAGGGAGGCCAGAGAGATGGACAGGCTCCTTCCTTGGCAGCGGCAGCTCTATGAGTATGAACGCCTCATTTGCCAACGAGACGCCATCCTGTCTGAGGTGAGGGGGCTGGGGAGGGAAATGGACTTGCCTTCCACGTACAGCTGCTGTTCTCTGCCCCTAGTCTGGCAAGAAAAGTCCACCTGGATCTCATTCCTGGATACACAAACCAGAGGGGTCGGAGGGTTTCCCCAGGTCATAAGTGTGACTCCACAGGATCTAGAAGCTCTTTTCCCCAGTGTTCTACTTGGGCCCTAGCTCTACCCCCTGAACCCCAGCTGGACCCCAATGCTAGCAGCCCTGGTCTGGGGAGCGCCCAGTCTCAGTCAGCTTTGGGCTTTCCCAGCGTACTCGCCACACGGAGAGCTTGGCCAAGACTTTGGAGGAGTACAGAATGACCACGCAGGTAGCCACTGCCTTCTGTCAACCTTGGCTCTCTTCACCTCCATCATTTCTGAAATTTTGCTGCCTCTCTTTCCCGTGCTTCTTTCTGTCTTCATGGATCTTTTTTCAAGTCTGCACATCTGGTTTCTTTCATCCATGCTGCATGACTGTGGCTCTCTTCTCTTTCCATCTCTTTTTCTTTGCACTTTTCTCTTTTCCTTCCTCCCTCACTATGTATCTCTCGGTTTCATCCTCTGTGGTGTCTTCCCCAGCATCTCCCCCATTTCTGTGTCTCTGCTTGGGCTTGCTGGAGTTCTTGTCTCTGAGGCTGGGTCAAGGCTACCAGTCTCTCTGGGCAACTCTGGTCTCTGGTCTCACACCCTGTGTTTCTCTCTGAGTCTTTCACCATCTGTGTCTCCCACTTTTCCATGTCTCTGCTTCTGCTTTCCTTCTCTTAAATTTCCTGGCTGTTTTACGTTCTTGGTTCCTCTTGCTTTCTGCCTCTCTCTGATTTTTTTTTTCTTTTAGCGGTGCTGGGTATTGGACCCAGGGCCTTGTGCATGCAAGGCAAGCACTGTACCAACTGAGCTACATCCCCAGCCCTTCTCTAATTCTTGTTTCTCTCTGCTTTCTTTTCCCTGGTCCTTTGGTGGTATTTGTCTGGGGAAGTGAAGGGGACACAGAAGAGGAGCCCAGTGTATGTTGGGGCGGGTGGATCAAAGTGGCGAGATAGGTATCACCATGTTCCACCTCCCTCACAGGAACTGAGACTGGAAATCTCACACCTGGAGGAACAGCTGAATCAGACCAGTGAGGAACCAGAAGAGTGAGTGGCATGTTGGAAGTGGGAGGAGGCAGGAAGGAACCCAAAGTCAGGGACACCCTGGCCTCCAGCTGAAGGTGGACAGGGCAGGGACCCGAGGCAGGCTTACTGACAGTTGCAGACAGGCCAGGAGATAGCCTTCCTGTGCCTGTCTGTGTGGCCAGGTTACTGGAAGAGGCCCAGGCAAGAAGAGCAGGCTGGACGACGCTGGTGCCCACATCACTGGGCTTGGAGATTGAGGCCATTTGTCAGGTGAGCCTAGTACCCTTGAAATATCCTGAGGGGGGGCTGGGGATGTGGCTCAAGCAGTAGCGTGTGTTGATCGCCTGGCATGCATGCGGCCCGGGTTCGATCTTTAGCACCACAT